CGTGGTTGCCCGAAGGATGTGACTAATGTTAGTCATAAAACGTGAACAGTATATCGATTGATCATGTTGCTAATTGCTTTTCTTTTTATTGATGTTCATCCTCATTTGGCATTTAGCTATTCCGCAGTCATGATTGTAATTTAATATTTCCCTGGGAAGCATACGTTAAGTCATTTTCTCCAGACTCATAAGTAGATTTGAGTTTCCAACCCCATTAAATAATAGAATTTTAGTTGCATCCAGTCCTCTCTTTCATAGACAAGGAAATTAAGGTAGAGGGGTTTCAGGACAATGCTCGTCTTGTGTATGTCAGAGTTTCCTGTCTCCCAGGAAGGGAGCTGGGAAGCTCGCATGTCTCCCCCAGTTCGAGCAATTGTTGCCTATCAGAAGGTTAAAGGTCAGTTTTTCATACTGGGCAGAAACAGACATCTTCTGGGTGCTATTGCATGTGGGGGTTCTAGAAGGTGCTACGACGAGGAGGATGTAGATGACAGAAGATCTAAAAACCTCGAGACTGAACTTGCAGTAGTGAGCCATCCCGAGCCTTCTTACCATCCAGTCTCCCTGTGTTCGGTGTCTCTCCTTCTACTTACGAGCACATTCAACTCTTTGCCCGGGTTACAGCCCCCTTGAGCCTTTCCTGCCACGTAGACGCACTCTGTCCCCCCCACCTCTCTGGCCTCCGCTTTCCTGGCGTGACCCTGCAGTCCGTTGTGGGATTGAAGTGGTTCCCCAAAATCACACGTTGCAGGCTTAACTCCCATACCTCAGAAGAGACTGTTTCGAGATAAGGCAATGAAAGAGGTAATCGGGAATGAGGTCACTGGGTGGACCCTGATCCAATATTGACTGGTTCTTTATACCAAGAGGAGATGAGGTCACCAGCCACCCCAAGGAGGAGACCACGAGGGACGCAGGAAAAAGCGGTCCCTACAAGCCACGGAGAGAGGCCTCAGAAGGGACATTTTGGAAACAGGGTCTTTGCAGGTGTAATAGTTGTAGTGGTCACTGAGTGGGGGGCCCTCAATCCAATACGACTGGATTGCTGTACCCGCACACACTTTGATCTAGACTTCTAGTTTCCCGGCGACTCGGAAAAATTAGTTTATGTTGTCTTTAAGCACCCAGTCTGTGGCACTTTGTCATGGAGCCCTGGACGCACTTACATCCCACTCTTTGGAGAACCCAGCGAGCTGGGGTAACGGGCACACCACTCTGTTCGTCCACATGGACAAACATATTCAATGTTGTTCATTCTTACCCGAATAGACGTATACACAAGTTGCAAGCACATGGAACATACAAGATACTTATATATATAGCTGAGTTTGTTACTGGATCCTGTCCCCAGCTAACAGTTTGTGGCAGGCATAATTGTTATAAGTTCAATGTTTTCTGTCTCCTCTAGAGTCTGCAGGTGAGCCTGAGGTCCAGTGTTCTGAGCATTCTCACCTGATCTCCTCCCAACGTGTAATTACTTACAGAACCTCACGTTTTTTAATGGATGATTCTTTATTTATTAGTATTTATTAATTTTTTATTTCAAAATATTAAGGGGCTACAAAGAACCTCTTAACCGTGTGAAATTTGCTAAACTCACCCATCCTTGTCCAATGACAGGGGGAGCGTGTTGACGGGAACGTGCTATTTGTCCTCCCAGGTTGTATATTTCCAAAGTAGCAGGAGTTTTCTGCAAGCCAGGCCTGACTGCAGAGGGACTGCTTTCATTTCAGGAGCTTTAGGAGCTGTGGCAGGATCGGGGGTGTGTGGTTTCATCCCACGAGGTCTTTCGACGTCTGCAAGGGATCAGGCGTGCCCTGTGGCTTGTGGGAGTCTGGCGATGGCGGTCGGCTGCTGCAGGAGCCGAAGACGCCCATGGCCTGTGAACGTGTCGCTTTGTGTGGCAAGAGGGACATGGCAGCGGGGCTAAGCGAAGCCTCTCGAGATGGGAGCTGACCCTGGATGGCCCAGGGTGGCCAGCGTGGTCACAGAGTCCCCGTAAGTGAAAGAGGGAGGCAGGAGGGTCAGAGCCGGAGAAGGTATGACTGATGACAGAGCAAAGATCAGCAGTGATGGGGCCACGAGCCAAAGTGTGTGGGCGGCTTCTAGAGGCGGGAACGGGCAAGGGATGAATTTTCCCCCAGGGTCTCTGGAAGGGACGCTGCTCTGCCCCCACCTTGATTTTAGCCCCGTGCAACCTCCAGAATGGTGAGGTGTTTAATGTGTGCTGCTCTAAGCCACTAACGTTGTGATGGTTTGTTACAGCAGCCACGGGAGACTAACACAGGTGTCCAGTGACCTGGTTGCTCAGCCTGAGTCTGAAATTGCAGGACCCCTAAAACCTGAGCTGAGGACAGAGCCCGGGACCCCGGGCAAACCCTGGCCACCAGCCCACCCCCCTGGCACTCTGAGCTTAGCTCGTGGTGCCTCGCAAAGGCTCGTGAAAAGCATTTTATGCATCTGATCTAATCATCTGATCTTTCTATTCATCTAAGTCATCGGGCCAAAGCAAGCTGGCCTGCTGTCTGCTTGATCTGATTATTAGACCAAATTGATTGATTAATTTGGTAAATTAATTCATAATGATGCATGAATGCCTGTCAATGCTTAAACGAATTACCTCATTGAGAAAATATCAGGTTCTTTTATTTTTTTTTTCTTTTTTCAAAAATTTAGGATGAAGAGGAAGGCACAATACCAGCCAGGGAAGTTTGTGGTTGTTTGGTTTCTGGTTATTGGGGAGGGGTGAGGTTTGAGGGAGAGTCATCCACAAACCACACCAACCTCGGCTGGAGACGGCATTAAGTGGGGGGGGGGAGGGCTAAGCCACCACTGGCCCCAACTCGCAAGACTGTCAGGTGTGGAGACCAGACGTCAAGTCCGTGTTCCCCAGTTCTTGGTTCCTAGTACCGAAGAAGGGTCACTGGTGCCGAGTAGATGGAGCAAACGAGCAGACCAAGCAGGCAAAGTGCCGACGTCCATTAAGCAAACATAGCACGCTCGGAGAAGGAAGGGTCTGTCTCCGCGGGTGCAGAAGACCCTGAGTTTAAAGACAGAGTATGGAAAGTACAGAACACTCTCAACGTTGGTAGAAAGAGGACTGTCCTTTACGCCAGTCCCTAATAATATGTTAGTAGGGGAGGAATATTCGTGGTTTTTCTTAGAAAGGTGTGGAAAATTTCCAGAATGTTAAGTCCTCCCCTTTTCCATCCTTGTAAGGCAATTTCCGGGGGTTGCCAAGGTATTTGCAAACTGTCAAGGTGCTGGTGGGTGTGATTTTTACTATGTTAATGAGGGCAGGTCGGTCCCTTGAGGACATTGTCATCCTATGTATACACATGCTCCAAAGATCCCCTTTTGTGGCCTTGTTCATATCTCCCCCTATTTCTGGTTGGTCAGTCCTTGGAGACCCCCATCATAGACCAAACGTGTGTTCAGTCCCTGGAAACCCCCTTGACGTGCCGTCCGTTCCGTCTTGGAAGTCCCCTCTGATCAATTTGTTCCTCCTACTGTAGACAAAGCGTCTCCTAGTGCCATCTTCTCCTCTCCTTCCTCATGCCCACCTAACAAGATGACAACAGGAGAGACAGCTGGCGAGGGAAGAACAATTCTGAGACTCAGGGTGAGTGGCCTTAAGATCCTGGTGGTTGGGCCTTAGCAATAGAAACACACAGGCCCTGTGGGCCTTGCTGCTATCTGATGGCTCCTCGATCCCTCCCGACTGCTTCAGTCGAGTCAGGGGAGGCTGGCGAGGTTACGGCTTGGGAGCCTTGTTCCCCTGGGCGTTGTTCCTGTAGACGGCTGAGGAGGTGGCGGACCTAGACTGCACCCGGCGTCATGCTGCGTGTGGGGAATGGTAGGAGGGGATGGTCTCGCAGAGTCTCCGAAACTCCTGCCCAAGGAGTTGACTAGCGTTTCTCAAGCACCCGAGGGACCCCAGAAGAGTCGGGCCTGAGTGCCACCTACCTGTGGTGGCAACACAGCAGCAACTTGTGTTTCCATGGCCAAAGAGCAGATTCCTCCCTGCCACCTGGATCCCAAAGCATTATTTGAGTTCCCCCCAAACTAAGCCACAACCCTAGGGAACATGGGTGACATCATGGTTTTTTGACTGAGATCAAGTTCATGCAACCTAGCAGAATAGGAGCTTGCTATCAAAATGAGGGTTATTTTTCTAGAAAAATAACCCAGAAAGTCTGTCTTCCCCAGTGAAGCTTCCCAAGGTTCCATTGATGGGCTGCCACATTTTATATCCTCTGCCTCTTCACTATCTGTGTGTGGTTGGGCAAGTGACTTGACCTCCTTGCGCCTTAGGGTTTTTGCAGCTGGAAAATGAGTCTAATGGTCCCTACATTACAGGATTGATCAGTCAATGCATGTAAGTGTTCACAGTTAATATGTGCAACAAACCACTCCCAAACAGCAGCCTGAATTTGAGGCCTGCGACAGACACATGACATATTAGGATTTATTAACTTAAAAGAAAACACCTTCATTAAGTCCCTGAATTTTCTCTGTCATGGATGTACATCGTAGGTGGCACAAAAGTGAGCACAGGCTGGGCGCGGTGGCTCACGCCTGTAATCCTAGCTCTCTGGGAGGCCGAGCCGGGCGGATCGTTTGAGTTCAGGAGTTCGAAACCAACCTGAGCAAGAGCGAGACCCCGTCTCTACTATAAATAGAAAAATTAATTGGCCAACTAATATATATAGAAAAAATTAGCCGGGCATGGTGGCGCATGCCTGTAGCCCCAGCTACTCGGGAGGCTGAGGCAGGAGGATTGCTTGAGCCCAGGAGTTTGAGGTTGCTGTGAGCTAGGCTGACGCCACGGCACTCACTCTAGCCTGGGCAACAAAGCGAGACTCTGTCTCAAAAAAAAAAAAAAAAAAAAAAAAAAAAAAAAAGTGAGCACATATTCAGCTACTCCGGAGGCTGAGGCAGGAGGATCACCAGATGGATTCTAAGAGCACATACTGATGACAATAATCCAAACCATGAAAGCAAGTGACATAAACAAATGGTTGTATTGGTTATCTACTGCCGTGTAACAAAATTCCCTAAAACACCGTGGCTTGAACACACACACACTTATTAATATTTTTCTGACGGTTTCTGTGGGTCAGAACTCTGGGCACAGCTCGGCGGTGTCCAACGATGCCAGGTCCCCTGTGAGGTCACGACGAGGCTGCCGGCCAGGGCTGTGGTCGTCTCGAGGCCAGGGGGGCAGGAGTGCTCACTTCCCGGCTCTCCCTTATGCCTGCTCATAGCTTCAGTTGCGAAAAAGAAGGCAAAGAAGACTTATTCTTTATTTCTGCATTTTGGTGTCGAGCTCTTCTTGCAGGAAGACGAGGAAATAACGAAGGCCGGGGCCCTTGCTCCAGTCCCTGGAGTCGCTGAAGTCTCCCTATCTCCTGTCCCTTTCCGTTTCGTAACACCGCACATCCCTGCCATTTTGTTCCCGCAGCATCCAAACTAGGTCAGGTTGCTCTTTCTTTAAATTTTCCCCGAATATAGCTCTGTCAATTCCAGAATGGTTTTCCAGGCCTGGTCAGTCAGTGAGAAAAGCCTGAGGAGCCTTGGGGGTTGCCATGGCAACCGCCAGCGGAGCCCGGAGATGAGGACACAGGTTAAATGAGCTGTCGCCTCCTCGCAGCCTGGGAGGAGGGCGGGGCGCTGGAGCCCAGAGCTGGGGACGCGGGGTGCATACAGAGCAGCGGGGAGGCCCAGCCAGGTGGCTGCAGCCAGAGCAAGGTCAGACGGGACACTCGGAGGGGCACAGTGCCACTCAGCCCAGGCGGCCCCTCCTGGGGCTGAGAGTTGGGGCCAGCGTTCTGTGCTCCAAGCCACCCCTGCCTCAACCTCCCCTTCTCAGAATTCCCCACTTTGCCTGTGCGGACCTGAGTCACCACTGAGCAGGGTTAGGTAGAAAGGGGCACATGAAACGAGAAATGGCCCTGTCTAGGCCCCGTAAGACCTGCAAGCAAGGCCGCGTCCTGTAGCAGTTTGCTTCTCCACGAGTCCTGTGGGTTTTTCCCCTCTCATTCTTTCTCTTTATTTTTAACTCAACCTAAATAATTATTTTTCTTTCTTACAAGATGTTTGCTGCCATCTGCTGACCAGACTCAGTCACTGCATGTAAAACTGCAACCCTAAGCGCCAAATAGAGACCATTCATGTCCTGCTGCCGCCTGTCCTTGTGCCCCCATTGATGTAAACTAAGATAGATGTCGCTATTTAAATGCCATCATTGTGGAATTAGGATTAGAAGGAAAAAAAATATTACAGTGTGGCTTGATAGGATATTGGAAAAACAGAAAAGGAGCATACAAATGCCAAATCATTGAGTTAATACCAAAACGACATCCATCATTTTTCCTCTTCACAAATAAACAAAGGGAAAAATATCACAAATCCCAATATTTACTCATAACCAGTTGAGAGCATCACTGTCCAATGCGTTACAGAGCAAATGACAAGTTTAGATGCAATGATCTAAAATCAAGGGAAAATGAATTATTACAGTCGCCCCTGACTGGGTCTTGGTCTCAGAGTCGGTGGCCAAGATAGGAGGCCTGGGGGGGGGGACAGGCTGGCCCAGCATGGCACACTCGGAGGCGCACACACCCCATGCGCGATATGCAAAGTGACAAATCAAGCCACGTGCTGTCACATAAAGCACATTTATCCTCCTCCCTTGGCAAACATGACTTCGTAAGGACATGGACTGTCAGGTTTGGATTCAGAGGTTGGGTTCCTCTGCAAGGAGAACCAGCCCCGCATGGCCGAGCCTGTGAGCAGCCCCTTCTCCCTTCTCTCCTCGCCCCGGTCCCTCCTACCTGGCGAGGAGGCTGATGGTATGTGGCCATGGCAGCTCCACACCCAGGCTCCGGAAGCAGCCCCCGCCCCTGCACACTGGAAGTCCCTCCTGAAGAGGGACACTGGGAAGACGCTGCGGAATGCTGGAAGCAGACTGGGGACTGTGGGATGATTCCAGGGGCCCAGGGACCAGACAGTGTGGCCTAGCAGGGGGTGCCTGGGGCCTGGGGGACTTGGCTCCTTGGACCCTCCCCCGGTGGTGACCAGCCTGGCTGGGGAAGGGCACAGGGCACCGGCTAGAGGGTGGCGCTGGGGCAGGGCTCCTCCGTGCACAGTTACGGGGACAGTGGGAAGTACTGATGCGACAGGGGGCAGGAGGCAGGCAGGCATGACAAGGAGCTGGGACCAGGAATGTCCTCTGCCCTCCCCACCATTTCCCTTTCTTGGTGCCCCTCAAACGACAGCCACCAGGCCCAGTCACCCACGTTCAGACAGCTGCACCGTCTCCTGTGCCATGCCATCACAGCTCCTCTGCCGAGCGTTTTGGATCCGTGTCATTTGCCCTTTGTTCATTTTCCTGCAGAGACAAGATGCCATTTTTAAATGAACGCAATTAATTTGTGTTTGTGTTCTCTATTTTTCCAGTGGTACTAAGCCAAGAAGACACTGTAACTTTTAAAAACATTTCAACAGAGATGTCCTTAAAATGGTCTATGTGATCTTATCTCTCTGTTACCCTCCCAACCTCGCCTCCTACCCTGCACCCCCCCGGCCTTTGGTTTTAGAGAGAGTGACCAGAGCCACAGCCTCACACCGCCCTCCGGGACACCCCAGCCGGCACGACTGCTGGGGGGAGCTTCTGCATCCCCTCTATACTGGTGTGCTCAGGCTGCCATTATAAAATGCCGCAGATTGGGGGGTTCAAACAACGGAACTTTATTTTCTCACAGCTCCGGAGGCTGGAAGTCCAAGATCAAGGTGTTGGCAGGTTTGATTTCTCCCCAGGCCGCTGTCCCCAGCTTGCAGATGGCCACCTTCTCGCTGTGCCCTCACACGGCATTTCGTGTGCACATACAGCCCTGGCGTCCCTTTCTCTTCTTAAGAGGACCCAGTCATGTTGGATGAGGGCCCAGCCCTAACGGCCTCATTTGAACATAATGACCCCCCAAAGAGCCTGTCTCCAATGCAGTCACCATCGGAGGTGCTGGAGGTCAGGCTGCCGCAGAGCGCACTCCCGCCCCTAAGGAAGCAGAAAACCAGCTAATGTTAAAACAGCCTTTCTCCCTCTCTCCCTCCTCCCTTTCTCTCTCTCTCTTTCTCTCTCTCTCTCTCTCTCTTTCTTTCTTTCTTTCTTTCTTCCTTTCTTCCTTTCTTTCTCTTTCTTTCTCTTTCCTTTCTCTCTCTTTCCTTCTTTCCTTCCTTCCTTCCTTCCTCCCTCCCTCCCTCCCTCCTTCCTTCTTTCTTTCCTTATTTTCTTTTCTTTTATACAGATACCAGGTCGGATCTGTAGCTACACAGAATCTTAATGGTTTTGCATGTTTCCATCTAGCTGTGGGCCGTCCATCCAGTGGGTACGGCTGTGCCCGTTCAGGGGCAGAACCACGTCTCCTCCCGAAAGCCAGGCTGTGCCCACGAGCTCAGGCTGGACGGCTCTGTCTGGGTCATTCCACCGCTGCTCACCCCAGGACGATGTGAAATCCCAGACAGCGCCACGGCATCCTGGGAACGTTCCCGGGACCTGGTGTGGGGTTATAACAAAATCAGTGCGAGGGATCTGACGGGCACACTGGGCCAGGAAGTTCTGGGAAGCCAGGTTCTGCACGTCAGCATCGGCCGTCGCCAGTCTTGTCACAGTGTGTGGCTGGGGACCGGGGCCAGGCAGGCGTGGTGCGGCTCTGTGCAAGGTGAGCGCCGGCAGCACCGGTCCAGAGGGAGAGCAGGTGACAGTCTCAGCCAGCAGGGAGCTGCGGCCCCTGCACCCTGTCCCTCTGCGTCATGCAGCTTGGTGGTGAACAAGTTTGTCCAAGATTAAATGCATAAAAGAATTCAGTTCCCGAGCCAGGGAAACCCAAGGCCACCCAGCACTGCTCCTGTCATGAGTGCGGTTGACAGGCTGGGGGGTCACGTCCTGCAGCAGGAGAGTGAGTTCCGGGCCTCACGGGGGTGCTGGAAGCCCTGAGACGAGGGTGGAGGGGCTGCGGGTGGTGACACCACGTGACGGCTGTGTGAGAGGGCAGTTCACGGCCTGTCAGGGCTCCGCGCTGTGGGGACGGGGCTGGCACGGACAGCTGTGGGCAGCTCAGGGCCGTCTGGGCAGTGAAGACAGGCTTAATGTAACCCTCTGCCATTTGTGCGACAGCCTGTTTTTCAAGAGATTCTTCGTGATGTCCTCCCCATTGGCCACCCTTGCTACTCCGGCAGAGGCGTTAATTATTAGCCCTTCTCTCTGCCACCCTCTTCGGGTCTTGTTTTCTCCAAAGTGGTCACAGAAATTCGAACTTCAGTAGGTGACTGTGGCTAAACCGTTACTGCAGGTGAAATTATGAACGTGGCTTTCTCCTCACTCAGAGGCATCTCCAGCTCATCCCTGGAGCAGTCTGAGGAAGTCCCCAGAGCCGTCAAGTGAGGAGGCCAAGATGTCACGTCCCGCTGGGGTCCAGACAGCTCATGCGTGACAATCAGAGGTCACTTTAAAATGTGAGCCAGCTGCACAGGGAGCTGTCCCTCGTCCCAACCACACACAGCCATGGAGGCACAGGGTCCCCATTTTGCTTTTGAAGGTCTGCAGGCTGAATTTCATAGTTACTGCTTCTGTGCTCCCTAAAATCCATGCTGGTTTACTAGTGACCCCCTTTGAACAATTATCACGGTATGAGCAGGCATGAGGGGGTGTCCTCCATATATCAAGCCAGACCTGAGCATCCAGGTTGTTCCTCTACCTTCATCGAAGGCTTGGTTTCCACCAGCATCTTCCCACTATTTTATTTATTTATAATAATTGGGGCATAAGAAACCACACCCAGACTTAGTTGCATGAATCATTGGCAATATATAATTTCTCATGGTTTTGTAGGTTTACCAGGTAGTTTTTCTGTTACATGTGATGTTGGCTGGAGCCCTGGGCTGTCTGGAAGGTTCCAGGTGTCCTTGTTAGCATGGCTGGATGCTGGTTGCATGCTCAGCGGGGACTTGTCTGGTGGGGCTTTTAATTCTCTTCTAGTAGATCTTGCAGCTGGCCGATAGGTCTTCCTCGCCTCATGGGAGCAGGGACTGAGCCCATGAACGGGCAGGAAGAGTTGGCTGCCACTCAATGTCGTACATGTCCTGACTCCTTTCTATTCCCATCCGGCCTACACTCAAAAGGTGAAACTAGATTAGCTTCCAATTTTGAGGGGTGGGGTGGGTTGGGGGAGATACAGTCTAGAGATAAAAATGTATATCAATTTAAATTAATTAGTTGATATTTCAAAAAAAGACATTCCATTATGCTTATTTTAGCACCACACAGATTTTGCACAATTCCTTCTTTCACTGCTGTGCAGGTTTTCGGCCCTCTATCTGAGCCTCTTAGCCTTCTATAATTACACCTGCCAGTTAGCACGCACAGCAGGACGAAATGATGTCTCTCTGCAACAATTAATTCTGAAATCTGTTCGTTTAGATGGAACTGAACACTTTTTAAAAATAACAAAAAGACTATATTGCATGTTTATAAAAGCATCTTGTCTATCTGGTAGGCAGAACCATGGGCCCCCCAAAGATGTCCTAATTCCCAGAACCTGTGAATGTGTCACGTTATATGGCAAAAGTGACTTTGTGGAAGTGATGGAAGTTAAGGACCCCAAGATGGGGAGATGACCCTGGATCACCTGGGTGGACCCGAGGTAATCAAATGGGTCCTTAGAGGAGAACCTGTCCGCAGCTGCGATCGGAGAAAGATGAGGCTGGGAGAGGAGTCCCAGCACGCTGCTCTGTTGCTGACTTTGAAAGTGGACAAAGGGGCCGCAAGCCAAGGAATGCAGGAGGCCTCTAGACTCTGGAAAATGCCAGAAAACAGATTTAGTCCTAGAGTTTCCAGAAAGAAACATAGCCCTGCAGACACCTAAAAATCTCATCGATTTTAGCTCAATGAGACACATTTCAGACTTGTGGCCTACAGATAATACATTACATTTTGTGTTATTTGTACAATCTTCTATCAGTTCACTTAATGCTAATGGTGATTGTTTCTATACGGCAGCTTTTAGGAAAAAAAATTTTTTTTGGTTATTTTAAGCATTGTTTAAATTCTTCCAGAGGAGTGTACGCAACTTTTTCAAAACGATGAGTGAGTTCATGAGAAAGCAGAGGAGGAGAGGAATAAGAAAAAGAAAAAGAGTGAGGCAGAAGAAATGGAAATAGAGAAAGTTCTGGGTCCCATTTCTCAGATGTTATGGCTCACTGGGCACACGCTGGCCAAACAAAACCAAGTCCCAGCAGAGGCAGCTGAATGCCAGGCAGAGCCCGCTGGTGGCTGTCCCCGTCTTCCGCGTGCCTGTCTGTGGCTGACACATGAGCCGCGTGGAATCCAGCCCACCCAAAGGCAGCTGGGCATGGGGGAGCTTCGATGTAACTTCTGGCTTAAAAAATCCATCCTGAATTTTAAAAATTGCTTTTGATGTTATGAGTTCTCACTAAATGATCTCTGATGTGTGTTTCTTAGGCCCTCTGTTTCCCTAGTATTGCGTTTGCCCTCCTTGACCTATTTCCGATCAAGAGCCCAGGATGCGCGGTGGCTTTTGCACGGCTCTCCGTAAACTCTGGGATGTCGCCCCCAGCTTCTCGGCATCCGTCGTGTCTCCTCCCCGCAGCCTCAGTGTCCTTCTCAACACGTCTCAGCACACTTTCCTCCGCTCAGATCCCCGCATGAGCTTCCCGCCTCGCTCTGAGTGCAACGTCCTTCCCGCTGTCGACAGGCCGTCGTGAGCCGGTCCCTGCCCCTGTTTCTGCCTCTGCCTGACCTGCTCATCTGCAGCCTGGCTGGGCTCCTGGATGTCCCATCGCCAGTGAGGAACGTGCCCACCTCGGGGCCACGACACCTGCTTCTACTGCTGCCCGCAGTTCACGGGTCCCAGAGGAAATGTCTCTGCAACGGGGCCCTTTTCAGAAAGGTGTCCCAGTCACTCACAGAAACGGTCGCTCTATGTCCTGTGACTTGCTGAATTTTTCTCTATAGGACTTATCCCCACTTGTCATGCTATATATGTGTAGTATGGCATTATATATACTGTGTATATATGATGTCTATGCACATATTTGTATATGTGTGTGTATATGTACATATACACACACAGTCATGCTCCATATAGTGACGTTTTGGTCAACAACGGACAGCACAGATGAAAGTGGCCCCATGACATGATAATGGAGTTGAGAAATTCCTGTCACCTAATGACATCTTGATGATCCTGACCCTGTGTGGGCCTGGGCTAATGTGTGTGCTTGTGTCTTAATTTCTAACAGAAAAGTTTAAGAATAAAAATAAAATTAAACATAGGAAAAAGCTTATAAAAGTATAAAGAAAGAAAGTAGTTTTGGACAGCTATACAATGTGTCTGTGTTTTAAGCTAAGTGTTATGACAAAACAGTCAAAAAGTTAAGAAAAAGTAGAAAGTTTATAAAGTAAAAAGTTGCAGTAAGCTAAGGTTAATTTATTGCCGAAGAAAAAATAGCTTTAAATAAATGTAGTGTCGCCTAAGTGTACAGTGTTTATAAAGTCTGTAAAGTTTATAAAGTGCAGAGGAAGGTTCTAGGCCTTCACACGCACACACAGAGCAACTTCCAGTGCTGCATGCTCCATTCATGGTAAGTGCCCTATACAGGTGTTCCATCTTTTATGTCCTATTTTTACTGTAACTTTTCTGTTTAGGTATGTCTTGATACACAAATACTTACCCTTGTGTTACAGCTGCCTACAGCATTCAGTGCACTAACGTGCTGCGTAAGTTTGTAGCCTAGGTGGGGGGTAAGCTGTGCCGTCTAGGTTGGTGTAAGTGTACTCTACGATGTTCGCACGGTGATGAAATCACCTAAGGATGCATTTCTCAGAACATATCCCTGGCTTTAAGTGATGCATGATTATATATATGTAATATATATATACATATATATAATTTCTATATAATGTCTATATATATTATTCTACATTCAATATAAGCATTATATATAGTATAATATAATGTCATATATAAAAGCCATATAATGTACACATGTTAATACATTATATATAGACATTTTAAATAATATGTAGTATGTATGATACTATATATAATGCCATACTACATGTGTACAGTAATAAACAAACACACATGCACATATGTCTCACCGTATTGCCCAGGCTGGTCTTGAACTCCTGACCTCAAGCAATCTTCCTGCTTCAGATTCTCAGAGTGCTGGGATTACAGGTGTGAGCTACCATGCCTGGCCTAATCAGCCCTTCTTTTAAAGAATTTCAAGCGGTTCCAAGTCTCATGGGTTTACACAACCAGAGTTATAATTGGGCAATGAGATTCTTTGTCATTTTCCAGACTCTTAAATTTAGATAAATTTTAAAACATCCATAGCAGCAGAAACCATTATTATTCTGAAATAGCAATGATAATACTAATGGCAATTTCCTTTCCTTCTGAGAAGAGTTCACTGTCTTTGGGTCTCTCTTATTTAACTTTATCTGATTTTATCCAACAGGCTTGGAGGTCATTAAAGATCAATCCAGACTGTAGCTGGGCCCAGTGCTGATGAAGAAATCCTCAGTGAATCTGGGACTTGGGGCTAAGTTTTCAAGTCATTCATGCTTTGGGGTAATTGATAATTATTTTTACCTGTTTATCCATTCCAAAATATTTACTAAGACTATATCAGGTTACTATGATAACAATAAACATCATCATCATTAATTGCTAACTTCTTTGAACATTTACTATGTGTCTAATTCTGTTCTGCTACATATTATTAATAACTCATTTAACCTTGTATATATTAATTCATTTAATCACCAGAGCAACCCACAGAAGCAGGTACTGTTATTATTATCCTCGATTTATAGTTGAAAAACATGAAACAGCAAGTTGATGTGTTTGCGTAATGGAAAAAATCCGATTTCCATAGAAGAAGATTATTTCAAGTTATTGTGGGTCCTAGGATGAAAAGGTTTGTGACAGGGGCATTATGGAGGGATGAGCATTTGAACTGGATAAGAAATATTTTATAGGAATTAAAGACTAGGAAATGATGATGTGTGGAGAAGAATAAGCTAGAAGGAAAAGCGCAAAGGCATTCCAGGCAGAAAAATTCTCAACATTGTAGCCATGTAAAAATTGGCATCTGGACCATTGGGGAATCTAAGATTTGGGGTATCTAAGGGTGGGCCCGAGGGCTCACCTGAACTTTGAGTTGGTCTGTTCACCAGTGGGATCAACTGACTAGCCCAGTTCCCAAATTACCAGGGATGAAGTCCAGGAATGAGGTTTTATTAGAGTTTTTTAAACCATATGGCATACGCCAGATAACTCAGGAGTGGTGTCCGGGCATGGGTTCCTGGGTCCTGCAGCAGGATTTGAAACTGCATGATCTTGGCAACGTCCCCAAGTGTCCTGTGAGCTTGGGAGGGAGAACAGAGCTGAGAAGCCCAGCTCAGCAGGGGCTGCAGGCTGAACCGCCTCCTCCCCTGACAGCGTTTCCACCCGCCCTCACGATTAAGAAGCCCTTTCTTGCTAACTGCACTGTTTCTTTTCTCTCTTAATTTCATCTTCGATCTGAAACAAAGGGACGTCAGATCCTGTGATAGCCAGCTCAAGTCGCTGCTCTGCCTCGAGAGAGTGGGTAGGAACCATTGGTGGTGGCTTTAAATAACTTCTCACTTTAGACCCTTGCAGAAGACTGTTAGAAATATCTAGGTTGAGGACGATTTTTGTCCTTTCATCATAAAGAGCAGCTCCTTCACTTTACACTTGCTGGGGAAAAAAATTTCCCTGGAACTAAAACGATAGGATTCTACACCGAAAGAGGAGTAAAGGGTGAGACAGAGACGGACTGGGTGGGATTCAGGGTGGAAATTTGTGGTTGAGAGGGGGAGGGGGAAGGTTGGGTAAAATATTACCCATAAAGTTGGGCTCCAATCTGGGGCGGATGGAAGAGGAGTTTGGCAAGCTTGTCTACTTGAGTAGGATTCCAAGACTGGGCACACACGAGCAAGGGTCCTTGTGTGTTTCCATATCTTACCCCCGTCACCCACGGCCCTCTTCCTGGGGGTGATTTCCTCTCCTAGTCTATCGACGTCAAAGATGAAATATTTAGAGTCTGTAGCTGTTCTTTAAGAGAAAAGGGGCATGCAGTGAACATTTTAGCTCTTCCATTTAAATGACTGTCACCCCAGTCACTCGTCCAGGCCCCATGTAGGGGAGGGGTGACCAACTGCACAGTCTTTGTTAACCACTCCGATCTGGCACTCACTGGCCGCGACACCTTGCCCACAGCGGACACTCACAGTCCGCATGACAGTCTGTGCTGTGCATTGACGACGCATCCGTCTTGCTCTTGTGCAATGACGAAAGCTTGAAAGCACTGAAAGCTTGTTTTACCTTACAGGCAGCTTTACTTGTCATGTGAATCAGAATAGGTAACCTAGACATATACGTTTTCATTATGTTATTTTTAAATGTTCACAATTTTATTTTATTTATTTATTTTGAGACAGAGTCTCACTTTGTTGCCCAGGCTAGAGTGCGTGCCGTGGCGTCAGCCTAGCTCACAGCAACCTCAAACTCCTGGGCTCAAGTGATCCTCCTGCCTCAGCCTCCCGTGTAGCTGGGACTACAGGCATGCGCCACTATGCCCGGCTAATTTTTTCTATATATTTTCAGTTGGCCAATTAATTTCTTTCTATGTTTAGTAGAGACGGGGTCTCGCTCTTGCTCAGGCTGGTTCGAATTCCTGACCTTGAGCGATCCTCGGCCTCCCAGAGTGCTAGGATTACAGGCGTGAGCCACCACGTCCGGCCCACAATTTTATTTTGATAAATGAAAAATTAGAAAAGTCATATCACGGCTGTTGGCTAAAGTCGCTGTGCGCGTTCGTCTATGGCTGTTGACTATAGACGGCGCTGGTACCGAGGTGGGTTAACTATGTAATTCCCAAGCCTCTTTTCCCCACTTTATGCAGTGTAGACTGTAAGCACCTGGAGAGTCCAAGTACAAAACAAGCGATGACATCCCAAAATCAAGCTCGACTGTATGTAGACAAAGTCACCCTAAGCTGTGTTTGATAAAAGGGTGGATATGGGTTGTGACGCCCAAGTTCAGAGACCAGGACGTAGCGAAGGTAGGGGTGGCCCTTAGGGGGCGCTCAAGACCGGAGGGTGGTTGAGAGTAAGTTTGTGACTCAGTGTCCCTACAACAGTCTGGGGGAGGATGCACTGGTCTTCCAGCAAGGAGGTGGCCAACCTCATCCCGGCGTCCCCGCGCTTGGTTTTCCAGCGTGCTTCCGCTTCCAACGGCGGCCCCTGCGTCTCTTTGGGTACTGACCCCCGGCCCTGCCCGTGCTGACTCCTGTGAAGGTCAGAGCCTGTCCTGCTGTGCACGTGGTGGCTCTTACCTGGTGACCGGGGTGCAGGAGTGGAGCCCAGTTCTCTCAGCCTCGATTGGGACAATGTGATGTGGGAACTCCACTCTCTCCAGTGCCCCGGTGACATCGAGCCAAACCACCTTCCCGGGGACTTGGCTTGATAACCCAGCCTGATTACTACCCATTCCTGCGCCACTCCCCACTCACCTGCCAGCTTTCCTGGTAACACAGTCTGAAAAGTCACTTTCATGTGGATCCTTGTCTCCGAGTCTGTGTCCGGGGAACCCAGTCTAAGACAACGGACGTCTGGCAGGCACTTTGCTTTCATGATCACCAAACCATCTTCCAACTCTAATTCGTCTTCCCGTGTAGCTTTTCTGCAAGGAGGGAAGGTAGAAGGAGCATTCCCTGTCCAGCCTGGCAGTTTTACTTCTCACTGCACATTTGGAGTTCTGCACTGTAGATAAGTTTCTCAAGTGCTATGAATGCAACTCTGTCCCCAAGAGCCAGGCCACCCCCGGGAAATGGACAGTCATATTTTAAAACCTGCAAGGCTGGGACATTTTAGACCCACATCAGGTGCCACCTTGGGAGACCTTGTTTTGGAAGCCACTTGCCTTCCTGGATAGACTCTCCACTGGGTCACGCTTCAACCACTAGAAGCTTCAGTACTTTGACCTCCTGCCCAGGGAGGGCTGAGAACATAAATTGTAACTGTTCCCTCATTTCCTTGAGAGCCATCCCTCCTGTGCTTTGCTGTGGTTTGAATGTGTGTCCCTCCAAAACTCATGTTGACATTTAATTGCCATTGTAGCAATATTAAGAGGTGGGAGCCTTAAGAGGTGATTAGGCCACGAGGGCTCCACCGTCGGGAGGGGGACGGTGCCCTGGAAAAGGGGGAGCTCGACCCTCTCATGCCCTCTGTCGCCCTCTCACCTTCTGCCACATGAGGCTGCAACAGGAGGGCCCTCGCGGACGCGGCACCTTGACACTGAACTCCCCAGCCTGACGCTGTGAGCCAGCGCATTTCTGCTCGCTATAAATCAGCCAGGCTCGGGTGTTCTGCTGCAGCAGCATAACACGAACTGGGACACTTTGGTTAGAGACAGGTGCAGACCCGGGTCGGGGTCGCCAGAGACAGGTGCAGACCGGGGTCGGGGTCGCCAGAGACAGGTGCAGACCGGGTCGGGTCGCGGGCGTGCCGCGCAGTCTCACAGCCCCGTCTGTGTTCCCGCGGTCTCCCATCTGCAGATCAGAGGAAACACTCCATTCCTGTGGCTGCATCCAGGGGACCGAGTGAGAATATGCGCATTCTAGAAAATCCGGAATACTTTTATCTTTGTCTCCGCCGCAACAGGCGGAATCGCAGCCTAATCTTTCGCTTCTGTGAGTTCGTATTTGTGCATCTGAAGTTTCTAAAAAGAAGAAGAAAGCTTACACTTTGATTAATGAGTTTACGCTGAGATCTTTAAAGTGCTGATTGTGCGACAATCCGTGTTAGGAAAGCGGGGCCACGGCGCGAGCGCGCTCCCAAGTCCGGTCGCGCGGGGAGCCCACGGCGCGGGGGCGACGCGCCCGTCCGGCGCTTCCGTCTCTGGACGCCAGTCCCCGCGGGCGCGCGGCGCGTGACTCCCGCCGGCTCCTTCGCGTCGCTGGAGCCGTGCCGGGAGGCCGTCGCGAGCGCGGACGGCCGGCTCCGCGTCGCTGCAGTCCCGGCTGGGCCGCCGGGCGGCGCTGCTGCGCTAGGCCGGGCGGAGCCGGCGGCGCGGCCGGGGCGGGGGTCCATGGGCGGAGCTGGCCCGCCGAGCCCGGCCCGCGGGCGTGGCTTCCCGGGGGCGCGGCCCGCGGCGGAGGAGCGTCACTCGCGGAGCTGCCCGCGCTGTGCGAACCGAGGCCAGAAATAGAGCCGGGAAGAGGGAGCGCGGGGCGGAGCAGATGCCGCGGCGCTCGTGCATACATCTGCCCGCTGCCACTCCGCCCTGTCGCCGCGGCCATCCGCGCCCTATTTTCGTCTCTGCGGAGCTCCGGCCGGCCCGCCCCGCCGGCCGTCGCGACATCCCCGGGGCCGCGCTCCGGCCGAGGGTGACATCATGAGCTATTTCTGTCCCCGCGGATTGCAATGTCATAACAGCGCGCATCTTGTGCCAAAAAGTGGCCCAGGCTGGCAAAAGAGGAGGAATTATCTCCAAGGCAAACTCCTTGATCTCAAAATGCCTCTCAAGGCACACTATTTAAAGCCATTGCAAAACGAATAGCAAAATAGACCCCTCGTGAGGGTGCCTGGAGAACAATGTAATGTTTTCTCGGTGGCCTAATCACCACTGGTGGAAAGACTGTCGCCTTCTAGCGAGGCAGGCAGCCACTTGCTGCATTGGATCTGGCCAAGAAAATCGCCCCATCAGCCCACGTCTACCCAAAGGTGGTCCTCTCCTCTCTGCTTCCTGCCTAATCGAAAATCCTCCTTGGGATTCTTGGGAGAGCGGAAGCTGAGTAATGAATGCGTGAAGATGCGGCAGCACCCAAGTGTGAGCCCTACTGGGGAGCTTGATGCAGGACAGGAAGAAAGTCAAGGACAATGCAAAATAGGGATCCAGCAAGGCAGTTGGAGAGGGTTGGGCGAGCAAAGAAAATACCTGGAGCACCAAGAGAGGATGGCAGCAGGAGCTTCATTGAGTTGAACCACTTGAAATTCCCATTTCTTGTTGGTCAGAGTTGGTCAAAAACCAAGTTCTGGGCCAAGCAATTCTGAGTACAATTGGACCTGCCAATACTGGTGAGTGGCCTGCTGTAACCCGGGACTGCCAGCTCCACAATCTCAGAATACCATTGGTGCCTGCGTGTGTCACCCCACCAGGCACCAGGATCATCTCACTCCTATCTAAACTTGTGGCTTAGGGTGTTAATTGTTTTTAACTTTTTTCTTCCTTTGACACAGTCAACAGATAATATCTCTGCGACACCCCATCAGTATCTGAGCCAAGGTGTTGGTTGTTATACACCTCAAAGAGGTGACCGTCTGGGCAACATTCCTGGTCACTCTCAAATTCCTACGATTTTGAGTCCAGTAATCAATATTATCCTCTGCTAGTGTGTAGACATACAATTTAAGAACTTGCTGGTCTACAGTCAGGAATTGAGAGAATCTAGGAACAGGTTTATCAGGAAAATGTATCACCTGCTTTCTCCAGAGCAATCAAATTGACATTAAAGTCTAATGAATTGGCTTAATGTGAGATCTCTGTAAGACAGACGTCATGATATGTCATTCGCATGGAGGATTGGCTCAATAGATGGTTCTGGATAAAACACTCCAAAAAGAGCCAACGCCATTTTGATACCCTACCCTTAGTTTGAATGTAACTTTCATGGAATCCTCCAGAGCCATAACGAGAGTTGGAGGAAAAGTGATCTCTACTGGAGTTAAAGTACAGAAGTGGTATGCATTAAGGAGGTCTCATGTTTTTTGGGATGACCTTCTTCCTTGAATTAAACAAGATGATTAACCATACTCATCAGAGCCCAATTGCAGTTGGCTTCCCGTTCTCTCTGTCCATGTACAAAGCTGTTATTATAAAGCATAGTTGATGAGAATCTGAGTATATTTTCTGTGGCGAGGTTGATTTCCCTTAGCTTAGGAGTGACTACAAAAGAAATATGTGAGGTTCAGACACTTAATAGACAACAGATAAAAATTGATGTGATCGATGCTTACTATAAGCAGAATAGAATTTTTCAGACAAGTGGTTTTGAAGGGCATTCACTTTGTTTTGTGTGTAACTCTGTAATTTTATATCAGGGAGTCATCATTCACTTTGTAACCAAACGGTGTTCATTGTCAAAAGAACATCGCCCCGGTTTAACATTATTGTAGCGGTGGGTAGTGTCAGAGGAATAACTTTTAGGTTTATGGTAGCGAAGTTATCATGTGCTCACATTGCTTCGACCTTTAGGAGCATGTAAACTACTTCAGACCCGACTTGATATTGTATTTTATGACATTTCTAATGACTCGAAAGCATCATTACTCGCTACTTTAATGGTAATATATTTCTGTTCTTCATACTAATCTTAAAAAAAACACTCAATAACCTGCCTAGAAATTAATAATATCGGTTATGGTTATAATAATTACAGGCACCAAGCCTAAGGCAGCAAGCTTAAAATTAAGTTGAATCATATGAATCGCCACTTTTGGAAAGCAACACTTATTGAAAATAATCAGCTCTACCAGAATCCTCAAGTCAGGTCGGGCATGCCACGGCGGTGGGCAGTCAACCCCAGCCCAGGCTTGCCTGGCTCCAAGCCAGCCCCTGAGCTGCTGAAGTTACGCCTGATTACCGCACCTCGCATAAATGACTATCTCTAAACCCTGGGCTGCCAACCTCCGGGAAGAAAGACCTGCAAAGAGAAGTTGAACTCTAAAGGAAAATCTT